TATGCAATGTTTTCAAGGACTCACGGGGTAAACAAGAAGATGTCAGCAATTGAAATTTGTAGCTTTGAGTGAAGAACTTCGTATCATTGAATATCCTTCTACAAGAGTCAAGCTCACCATATCAAGTGGGTCATAGCCCCTGACTTAAGTCATTGGGTTTTGATCTTCTGATGGCATTGGCTAGAGGAAAATAAATCCCCTTGCCCCTTGCTAGACGTCTGATTTATCATAACCTGCATCACAAATCCTTGAGATCCTTGAAATGGTTAAGGAAATTTTGTGGCATGATGTTATGATGTATATGCTATGCATTAAGCAAAAGTGTAAGGTGATGTAATCAAATAGACCCTGTAAGAAATCCAAGTTATTGGATACTGACTGTAGACAAATCCTGCAAGGAAATCACGTTATCAGATAATAAAACCCTACAAATAGTTTAAGTTGAAAGAAAACAAGTCACTCGAGCAGCCTTAAGTTTAGGCTTGCATGGGTTTTAAGACAGTACCCTCTTAAAGTTGGATTGGTTTAACCTATCCTATAAATAGTAACCGGGTTCTAAGGGATCTCAATATCACTAACCCTTCCCACAAGCTTCGTTCGATAGGCGATTGACTCGCAACCAAACAAAACTGAGGAGTCAAGTCTCAATGAGTGTAGCATCGAGTATCTTCTGACTTTGGGAATACACCAAAGACGGCCATCTCGCTACGTCCTAATGGCCAAGTTGTTCATTTAAGGGTTCTATGGTCAGTTGACGCTTTATGACACCACGCAGCAGCCTCGTATTCTCCTCGATTAACTCAATGGCTACCGGTACCAACCAAAGTGTCGCATCAACATAGCCATCGTTTCAACTGTGTCGGTATACCTCGCACAGTTTCCACGATCTATTGCTACTTACCTAAAAGGTTTCCCCAGATCCGGTGTAGGATCTATAGTAACCCCAAATAGATCCCTCAAAAATAAAGCAATAAAAGCAGTTAAATAATAAACTAAATCTAAGATGACCCCACTTTTTAGATTATCCCCAGCAGAGTCTCCAGTTCTGTTATACGAAGGCAGAACCGACTGTTATATACTGGTTTTTCGTTTTTTGTTTTCAAATGTGCTAAGCAAGAGTCTCCATCGTCTTTTCTTTTATCCAACAAAGGAAAGGGTGAAAAGAACAAAAAAAGACCTTTTCGAGAGTTTTCTGAGTAAGGTGGTAGATTATGGAAAGGGAAAGTGTTAGCACCCTTTCCATCTGTGGTTTTCCACTGGCTCTTAGAGGTTTGCTCATTTTTCAAGATGCTTTTATGCTTTGTGTTGGAAAATATTTTGAAAAAATGCCTTAGTACGACGAACTTTGCAATGTTTCTTGGGATAGTAGAGAACGTATACAAAGTGTTTGGAAAATGTCTTTTGAAAAGTAGTTTTTGTGTGTAAGTGCAAAAAAGTGTTTTTTTTAGCAAAGTTCTAACAACTATCTACTTTTGTACTCGAAAAGGTTGTTCTTTTCCTTTGGACAGTGCTATCCTACTATTAGTGAGTAGGTATCCTTGTCGTTAGATGTTGAGGGACAATCGAAGGCACATTACAGTCATGAAGGCAATTTATGGAGATACTTTAGCAATTCTATTTTAGGGACTAGATCATTTACAGAGAAGGAAACTCTAGGGTCATCGAGAGACTATGATCTTTTGATTTTATGGGTCTTTTCTATAAAGCATTCCTGCCTCATGATTGTTTTTTAAAGGCAACGAAAAACTTTCGTCTCTAAGATCATAAAAGGTCTCGCCATGAGATTTTGGTTTAGGGTTATAAAAAGAGTCATAGTTTTTGTTCCAAAGTCCTACCCCCCCCCCCCCCCCCCCCAAGAGGATACCTCTTGAGACATATTTCTTTTTTTTTTAATTCCATCCACTATAGACGAAGTCATCACAAAAACTCATAGAGGTGATATATCCCCTTGGCCAATAGACGAACCTTCGTTCTAAGGTTTTTGAAAATACATTTTTTTGAAATAAAATCCCGCCAACAAATGATAAAAAGATAATAAAATATAATAATAACCAAAAGTAAATAAATAATAAAATAAATCAAAATATAGAAAAATACCAAAAATAAGAAAAACCCTAAAACCAAAAGGAAAGGCTTCTGAACCCTAGGGTTGAGTCCCTAACAGAGTTGCTAGCTGTCATAACTGGCTGAAAATAAAAGAGTCGCCACCGTTAATTTTAATCCTAAGGAAGGGGATATAACAAATAACCTTAATTTTGACCAGATATTCTAAGTTGACTCGCTTTAGACGAAGGAAAGATGTTATGCACCTCTCATCTACCTTGTTCAGAAGGATACTAGGGTTTAAGAATAGGGTTTTAGTTTTAATTAAGGGAAATTGCCACAATTTTTAAGTTGTATGTCTATGTATCGTCTTATGAGGAATCAGAGTCACAATTCGTAGTTCGTAGTGTTTGGTTAGTTTTTTTATGGACTATGGAAATATCTCAAATTCTCTTTGTACCAAGTCTGAGATTGTAAATTGCAGAACAGTAAACGAAATACGCAGTCGATAAGAGAAGTTTTCAAAATCCTTTTTTGAAAATAAATATGTTTGAATTATGTTAGTAAAAAAATAAGTTAGTATTTGATTGGTTAGATATTTTTGAGTATATGATGCAATATGAGAAAATAGATTTTTAATGCGTGAGAAAAATATTTAATGAAAAAGGTTAGTGTTTTTAGAAAATGTTTAATTAATAAATAACTATTTTCTAATTATTAAAAATATATTAAACATTTTCAATAATAGTCTAATAATTATTCATTAATAATTATGCAAAAATTATTCTTAATGAAAATGCTAAAAACTCGTGATATGCAAATTAAATAAAGAAAATAAAATAGATTAACTAAATAATATAATAAAAATTAGTTACTTAAGCTTAGGTGGGGAAGAAATTAGGATCTGGGGGTGTACTAAAAATATATTTAGGCCTAAAAAATCTGAAGCCAAATAGTAGGGGGGTGAATTAGCGTTGGATAGTAAAAACCAGGGTGTGTAAATAGTAGGGCCCAAGTTCATAAATTAAACTTGGCCTAATTAAACAGGGGGATTTAGTAATATCTTCAAAAAATTAATCTAATTAAATTAGATAAATTAGCTACTAAAAAAACAAATGTTATATATATATATATATATATATATATATATATATATATATATATATATATATATATATATATATATATATATATATATATATATATATATATATATATATATATATATATATATATATATTAGCTAAGTTAAATAATAAATAGGCTAAATAAACTTAATTAACCTTAATTTGACTAAACTTAATACAAAACTAGTAAATAAAAAATAAGAGGATCTAAAGAAGGGTGTAGTGGCAGAATATGACTTAAGGCTCAAAATCTAAACTAAACTAACCCTAAATTATTGTAACTTAAAAATTAAATAAAGAAGAACAGAGGTAACCAACCGGTACACATTAGGGGTCTCCCCTTATCACACTCCTCCATGCTTTCAATTTTTGAAACAACACCAACTTTAAACCAACACTTGGAAATTAAAAGAAAAAAACAAAAGCAAAAAACAATAGTAATAACATATATTATATTTAGATGTCAGTGAGAGAAAAATATAAAATAAAAATTAAAACAAGTTTTGCATAGAAAAAGGTTTGTGAAAGAGAAAGATAGAAAATTGTTGATGAATTGTTGATGAAGTTGTTGACAGAAATTTTTTAGATGTTTTGTTCAAAACCCTAAAATAAATCAAAAAAAATGCGTAGAAAGAATGTTTGTGAGAGAAAGGTGGAAATTGTTGATTTCTGGATATGTTTCATATATTTTCTGTTTAGAAACCCTAGAATAAACCAAAAGTAAGATAAAGAATGAGACTATGAAATTATGGATAAAAAATTATGATGGACAATATTCCTATTTATAGATTTAGAATTAGGTTAAAAAAACTTAGAAAGTAAATTAGGCAAAACACTGAAAAGCCCAAAGTCTGATCTCTAAAAGAGGAAATAAAATTAGTAACAAAAATAGAAAAAGAAAATGTTTAAAAATGAAACACAAGAGATTCAAACCCACACCCTCATACTTGCAAGCTTCATTCCTTACCAAACGTGCTACGTTACTCATTTGAAATTAAAAAAAAAAAACCCAATTGAAAGTATACGAAAGAGAATAAGTATTTTCTATTTTAAATACAAATAATTTGAAATAAACCATTATACGTTTTTAACTGAGCGAAATAAATTATTGTTAAATTGTTAGTAAAATTGAACCAAAGAATATTGTAAAAACCAATGTTGAAAATATTTTGACTGTAGAAATAAAGGGCGGGAAAATTTAGAGTATGACAATCTGCGCATAAGAAGCAAATCTATAATACACTGATAGTACTTAACTATTGTTGAATGATACCTTAAGAGACTGAGTGAAGGTATGATCTCAAGAAGACCCATGTTGTGGCTTGAGTGTATTTACAGTAAGGATCAACGGACTTATTGGGGGTGCCAATAAGGTTGATCATACTTATTATGGATTGTTCTGTAATCAGTTTGGTTATAGTGGATTAAGTCCTTGTTGAAGGCGAACTCATCCTTGTGAGGGTGGACTGGAGTAGCTTAGTTAACAATGAACCAGGATAAAAATCATTGTGTTCATTTAATGTTTTATGTTCTAAGCTTACTTGGTTCGTCACCATGAAAATAATTAATTTGGTGAAACCCAATTCAAATCCCCTTTCTTGTGTTTCTCACACCTTCACCTTTAACCTTCTTCCAGATGCATTCCATAACAAGCGAAAAAACCTGTTTCTTAGATTTCCCCAGAACAACCAGAAGAGCCAGATACCTCGAGTGAGATACAACTGTCTTTACTCCCATTTTATTATGGATCATTTGTTTGACTTATTCACACATGTTTTGACTAAATGAGGCTTCGGACTTGTCAAAGATCACCATCTGGCATGAAGCTCTTTAGTATTTGGCAAGGATCTCAAGAATCATGTATGCTTCCGATACACTCGCTCTTGAGAACAAAATACAATCATCATCAAAGAACAAATGAGAAATACAAGGAGCTTTTCTAGCAATCTGAATCCCATGGATGGTTCGAGTATTCACAGCCTCTTTAAGAAATCCAGAAAAGACATATGCACAAAGAACAAACAAGTAAGGGGATAGGGGGTTTCCTTAACAGATACCCCTTTCCGGACTAAAATAATTGCTAGGGAAGCCATTCATGAGAATTTGGAAATACACTAAAGAGATGCACTTGTGGATCAACTTCACAAAGTTACCCGGAAATCCCATAGACTCCAAAACTCCTACCACGAAAATTTATTCTAGCCTATCATAAGCTTTCGCCATATCCAACTTAAGGGCCATGACTCTTTTTTCCCTTTGTTTTTCTTCTTCATTCAGTGGAAGCATTCCATTTCCACGAGGGCATTGTCAGTGATTAATATCCCTTTTACCAACGCATTTTGTTCCATACCAATGACCTCTGGCAGCACTATTTTCAGCCTCTTAGTGATTTCCTTCGACATTATCTTCATCACCATATTACATAAGCTCATTGTCCTGAATTCTTTCGGAGACTTAGAGTTTTTTCACTTTGGAATAAGGACTATAAATGTTTTATTCATCTCTGCTGGGACATGCTCTCCATTAAGAACCTCCAGCACCATTTTAACCACATCCATGCCCACCATATTCCAGTACTTTTGGAAGAATAGGCTAGGAAGCCCATTCGGACTAGGGGATTTCAAAAGGTGCATATTAAACAATTCCTCGATAACTTCTACTTCAATAAATTCCTCGCCACATCATTCTCTGTTTAACAAGCTAAGCTTGTCTTTCACAACCAGACGCGACTCTCTAATATCCATTGGGACTGGAGAAGAAAAAATACTCTTAAATTAATTTGTGATAATCCTTTCACAATTCACTCTACCTATCCACCAACGACCTTCATCATCTCTAAGCTTACTAATTTTATTGGTACGTCTTCTTTGATCCTCCTTGCCGTGAATTTTTTTTGTTGTGTTTTTATCACCATCTTGAAGCCACAATGCTCTACTTCTTTGTCTCCACATAACCTCCTTCGTCTTCATAAGGTTTTTTCTTTGATTCTCAAGAGCTTTGTACTTTTTTATTCTCTCCTCACTATTATCCCACATATCCTCCTCCTTCAACATCTCTTCAATTCAAATTAACTCCTTGCGGATATTCCCACACCTATATTCTTTAAAATGTTATGTGATACCTGACACTACAAGGATCTTATTGTAACCTTGGATATTGTAACCCCTACATATTTGCTTCACCAAACCTTCGCACCTATCATCTCTCGCCCACACATCTTTAAACCTGGAAATATACTTATTCTTGTTACCTTCTTCCTCCACATCGCATTCCAAAAGCACTTTAATTGCAACGTGACCAAAGCCATATTGTGACAGGTGTGTCACTCTGATGGGATAGAATCTCACTACACACACTTCATTAGAAAAAAAATATCTAATCTCCATTGGCTATTCTTCTGGCCATGGCGCCCATTAGACCAAGTGAAGGGTATCTGTTAAAACCAAGATCTAGAAGGCCACAAGTTGTCATTGCATGTCTGCCCGAATTAAGTTATCCCACGATTAAGCTATTTCCACCTTGTTTTTCATTGTCAGACAAAATGTCATTGAAGTCCCCCACACACAAGCATCTCACTCCATCATTCACCTTCATCCCTTTGATCATTTTCCAAGTTTTCCTCTTATTTCCATCCTCTGGGAACCCATACACTCTAGTGAGAAGCCACGGTTCTTCTCCTTCATCATCAATAATCTCCATATTGATATGGTTTGGGGAGAAATTGACCACCGTCACTTTTAGCGAGTCTTTCCACAACATTGATATTCCACATGCTCCACCTCTACCTGCCTCTTGACACCTCACAGAGAAGTTGTGATCCATACCACATTAGTGTTTGACATTATGAAACTCATGATCCTTGAGACAGGATTCCATGAGAAAGATAAGAGAGGGATTTTCAACATGGTTGAGCCTTGACAAGGCTCGAAATACTCGGGGATTCCCTAAACTCCTTCAGTTCCAACTTATTGGTTTATTGTTGTAGGTGGTTTTGGCTTTCCAACATCACTTTTAGTTCAAAGTTGTTTGCCACTTCCTCAACTCTAGTTTGCTTCCTCTTGTTTTCCCTACTTCCATAGTCCTCGACTGATCCTTCAATTACCATAACATCAACTAATTCTATCTTTGGTTCTTCTATTTCTCTTCTTCCTCTTACATTTGTTGGACCTATCTTCTTCTTTGTTCCTATCTTTCGCGTCCACTTTTTCTTAGGGGAACTTGTACTTTTGTTGATTATAACATCCCCTATTCCCACAGTTGTTAATGCAACCAGTCCCAGAGATTCCACCACTGTTTCAATGTCCAATCCTTTACCCTTCTCAACTTGTCTCTCTTCCCATGATATCTCTTTAGATCTCCCCTACTTTCTGTTGTTGCATTTTTGGTTCATCGGTTTTTTCCGTCCCTTTCGATTCGAACCTACTTTGCCCAGACAAGGCATTAAATAAGTTTTTACTATAGGTTCTATAGCTGGACTCCATCTTATTTTGATCTTCATCAACTTATGGTAGCGGTGAGGCGCTCAACCATTGTCCAAAGGATAGTTCATGTTCCTCAATTTCTTTGAATCCTTCGTTGTTAAGCTCTTCCAATGCCTCACAGTCTTTTAATTAGTGTCCAACTCTCCCACAAATGAAACAGAATATTGGTAGCCGCTCGTATTTGAAGTGGACTCTCAAGTTCTTCTCATTAAATTTCACCATTATTCCTCTTTTGATAGATTTCTTCAGATCCATCTTCACCTTGATTCTAAGAAATCTTGTGTTACGATAACTTTCAATCTGATCCATCTCAATAAATGACCCAATGATGTTTCCTATTTTGCTTGTCATAACATATAGCCTTAACATTAGTGGTAGTACATAGATTCTGACCTAGAAGGTGCCAAAGTGCATATTCAGATCTGAGGGTTGTTCATCCCTAGATACCCTTTCTAGAATCAGTAAAGCCCTATCAAAACTTCAAGGCCTTCTCTTCAGTATATACTCTATACCTCTCTTTGTTTCTAACTTGAATAGAATTAGATTTTTGCTCATGTCATGTATCTCTACTAGATTTTTCGGTCTCCAAGCATTCAACATCGTACTCTTTAAGGCTCTAATGATGAAGCTAATCTCCATCCACAGTTTTACAGAAAGGGTCCTTTGAAAAGACTCCTCCTCATAGGTTTCCTCTGGCTCTGCTACTACAACCTCCTCTTCCTCTTCCATAAACTTGATGTTCTTCCACCCTTCCATCAGCCCTTGAATCTACCCCACTGTAGCGGTAGAAATGTTGAGACTAAGCCATTGGATTGACATAACTCGCACAAATCAAATAAAAATCGCCATTGTGCTTTATTGATTCCAAAGGAATGGTAAAAGAGTGAATAACCCAAATAAAGGGGGGAGAGAATCTAGGTACGGGGGTTGGTTATGCAAAGGGAAGGTATTATCACCCTAAACATCTATGGTACTCCGCATGAACCTCTTTAAAAATTTGTGTATTTTGGCTATAAGAGTTGTATACAAAAATAGATTGTGGGGATGAGAAAAGAAGAATTTTTTACAATTTTTGCACCCGTCGCGGTTGCGAACCTTTAGTGCCTACGTACCACCTTCCGTGCAATAGGGGATCAGGGTACTCGTAGTTCACCTTTAAAAATTTTAAAACACAAGTGTGTTGGTTAATTTTAAGAGACAAGACATCATCGTCATCTCCGAGTAGAAGACATACTTACTACCCACGATTATGAGAAAGGAGAATTTGCTTCATCTTAAAGTGGAGGATATAGCTTGGATTTTAAAATCAACAAAGCTTCGCTCGACACCTAAGTGGAAAATATCTCACTTCACTACATATCATAGAAGTATAGTAGATCGCATCACTACAAGGATTGACCAGAGTCTAATATTTTGAGAAAAGTTTAATGTAAAAAGCCAAAGTGGAAAAATGGTTTGAATGAGATTGATTGAATTTTAGTCTTCTCGCAAAAAATGTCAAAGTATGATTATGTTGGTTAAAATTTGATTAATAAAATGATTTTTGAAAATGAATGGACCTAAGTCCAAGTTTATTGTGAAAGCGGTTCAAGTTTAGAAAACAAGAATAGTTTTGAAAAGAAGGGAGAAGATTTTTGAAATTAAAGAAGATGGGAGGAGATGAAGGGACTATCCTAAAGTATGAGGTAAAAGCTAGGGAAAAGAACATTCTAACCAACAAGAAGCCAACACTTGACATAATGAGTAAAATGTAGAATTCCCATCTTTGGTTTGAAACCAAACAAGAAAAGATAATAAACCTCGTAAGAATACCAAACTTCAAATGCATTAAGTCTTCACAAGAATTGGAAAGAGTAACAGTTGTATATATATGAATTCTCAATCACAGACAAAGCATGTAATCAGAATAACCTGCACACAAGGAAAAAAATACCCTAATGTCTTGGGGTAAACCCCAAGAACTCCAGACAAAATAACAATATAAGTCATAAGGTCTCAAGGTAGTCAAGGTCTCTATCCTAAGTCCAAGAAGTCCATAACTCCAAAATACCAAGGATAGTAACCAAATAATCCAAGCAACCTTAAAGTTTTTTTTTTATTGTTCAAGTTGGTTATTAAGTATCTTTAAATAGAAAATGAAAAGCTCAAGTGAGCAAAATAAAAATGACATAAAGATAAATGCTCAAGTGAGCAAATATGATAAAGTTTTTTTTTAGTGTTCAAGTTTGTTATTAAGTATCTTCAAATAGAAAATGAAAAGCTCAAGTGAGCAAAATAAAAATGACAAAGATAAATGGTCAAGTGAGCAAATATGAAAATAGCATGAAATGTAAATGCTAAAATAAATGGTGCATAAAAGTAAAGGCGTAAAGTAAAATTGTGAAAATAAAAGTCAATTGTTAATGAGTTAGAAATTAGTTAGTTGAATTACCATCTTGAATCTTGCATATGAAAACTCATTAGAAGATTGATAAAATCAAAGCCTCTCAACAACAAGTTTCATTTGCTTTTTTGTCAAGTATATCATTCATTTCAAATTCTCAAGGCAACAACAAATGATCAACGATGTTTAAATGATTCTCTTAGACTAAATTTTATGAAGGTTTATTAGAGGGTTGATAAGACCAAAGCCTCCTAACAATGAACCTCAAGGTTATTGGATCAAAGGTTTCAAATTAAACATGATTGGGCTTGCAAACATAGGTTTGGGCCACAAATGATCATTTCTCGAATCGGGACAAAATTTAACGTTATGTTAAGCAATCATAAGTGGACTTATATAGAAGTCGCACCTATTTTGAGGCTGGTCAATAGCAATCTATGTACCATATGTTTGGAGAAATGATATGTAGATCATCCTCTAACAACATGTACTACAAGTAAGAAAGGGATAAGATGAAGAGGGAGGTGATGCATTGTATGAAATTAGGGTTTCAAATATCATCAACATCATTCATCCATTTTGGTGGATTTGGTTTCTCAACCTATCAACACCCAAGATCCAATGATGTTGAGTAATTTGTCACCAAATGAAATCTAAGTCAGAACCAAATTAAAAAAATAATAGAATAATATTTAGTAAAACAATATTTAAATAGTTAATAAAAAGGAAAATAAATGGTAAAATACACAAACTATATTAAAATACCAAATAAAAATCCTAAAAAATAGTCAGAGGTCAAATATAAGTCAATACATGTTGATAAAATATTTCAGAATTTTTTAAAGTCATAAGCTATTTTTAGAAATAAAAGAAATAAGTTAAACAAACCAAAAAATAATAAAAAATAGTAAAGTCATAAATAAAAATAAAACAAAGTCATCAAAAATTGGCAAAAGACCAAATGACCTTTCCATAATTTTTTTAGAATTTTTAACAACCATAAAATGGTTTTAAACAATTAAAACTATCAAAAGAAAGTGAAAAATCATAAGAAAAATATCAAATCTGAAATAAAATTGTGAAAAAATAAAAATCAGAAAGATAATATTCCAAAATATCTTTGTAAATTTTTTCATAATTTTTGGACCAGAAATGATTTTTTAATGTATTTTTGAAGTTTAAAACAAAT